CACCTAAACCACCCCTGGACTCCCCCTGAGTGCCCCCTGCACACCTAAACCACCCCTGAACACCCCCGGAGTGCCCCCTGAACACCTAAACCACCCCTGAACCCCTGAACCCCTCCCGACTGCCCCTGCACACCTAAACTGGGGGGACTCCGAACCCCTCAACTTCCCCCAACTGCCCCCCCCACACCTACACCGGGGGGACCCCGGGGGGACACAGAACCTCCCCTGACTGCCCCCTCCACACTTACACCGGGGGAACCCGAATCCCCCCGACTGCCCCCTGCACACCTAAAGCAGGGGCACATCGGGGGTCCCCGCACCCCTGAACCCCCCCCCCCCCGAGTGCCCTGAGTGCCCCCTCCACACCTACACCGGGGGGGCACCCAGGGGACCCAAAACCTCCCCGAACCCCACCCGGTCCTGCCCTGACTGCCCCCCCCAACACCTACATCGGGGGGGCACCCGGGGCACCCCAAAACCTCCCCAGACACACCTGGGACAGGTCCAGGGTCCTTCAGGGCCCCCACTTGCAGGTCTCCCCCCCACAGACTTGCAGGTGTCCCCCCCCCCTTGGAGAACCTCACCTGCTGTGGGAGGGGCCACACCTGGACCCTGAATCTACATCAGGGGCCACATCTGGAACCCCAAATATACACCAGGGGTCACACCTGGGACCCCAAATCTGCACCAAGTACCACACCTGAAGCCCCAAATACTGCAGATACTAAATCTGCAGCCCCAAATCTGCGTCATGTGCCACCCCTGGAGCCCCAAATCTCGAGCCCCAAATCTCCACCAGATCCTGCATTTGGAGCCCCAACTCTGCACCAGGTGTCACACCTGGACCCCAAATCTACATCAGGTACCTCACCTGGAGCCCAAACCCACACCAGGTACCACACCTGGAGCCCCAAATCTGCACCTTCTGCCACATCTCGAGCCCCAAATCTGCAGCAGACACTAAACCTGCAGCCCCAAATCTGCCCCAGGGGCCACACCTCGAGGCCTGAATCTGCACCTTTTATACTCCAATTCCCAAAATTCAGGACCTCTCCTGCATTCAGGTGCCACACCTGGAGCCCCAAATGTGCACCACGTACCTCACCTGGAGCCCCAAATTTATACCTTCTGCCACATCTCAAGCCCCAAATTTGCATCATGTGGCACATCTTGAGCCCCAAACCTGGAGCCCCAGATCTCCAGCAGATATACTAAATCTCCAGCCCCAAATCTGCACCAGGTGTCACACCTGGAGCCCCAAATCTGCACCTTCTGCCACATCTGGAGCCCCAAATCTCCACCAGATACTACACTTGGAGCCCCAAATCTACACCAGGTACCACACCTGGAACCCCAAATCTCAAACCCTAAATCTTCACCAGATCCTGTATTTGGAGTCCCAAATCTGCAGCAGGTGCCACATCTTGAGCCCCAAATCTACATCAGGTACCACACCTGGAGCCCCAAATCTCAAGCCCCAAACCTCCAGCAGATCCTGCCTCTGGAGCCCCAAATGTGCCCTACACACTTCACCTGGAGCCCCAGATCTGCACCTTCTGCCACATTTCCAGCCCCAAATCTCGAGCCCCAAACCTCCAGCAGATCCTGCATTTGGAGCCCAAAACTGCACCAGGGGCCACACCTGGAGCCCCAAATCTGCACCTTCTGCCACATCTGGAGCCCCAAATCCGCAGCAGGTATTACATTTGGAGTCCCAAATCTGCACTAGGGGCCACATCTGGAGCCCCGGATGTGCTCCACATACTTCACCTGGAGCCCCAAATCTGCATCATGTGCCACCCCTGGAGCCCCAAATCTACACCAGACACCAAATCTGCAGACCCAAATGTGCCCCAGGTACCACACCTGGAGCCCCAAATCTGCACCTTCTGCCACATCTTGAGCCCCAAATCTCGAGCCCCAAATCTTCACCAGATCCTGCATTTGGAGCTCCAAATCTGCACCAGGGGCCACACCTGGAGCCCCAAATCTCAAGCCCAAACTTCCAGCAGGTACTGCCTCTGGAGCCCCGAATGTGCACCACACACTTCACCTGGAGCCCCAAATCTACACCTTCTGACACATTTCCAGCCCCAAATCTCCAGCAGATCCTGCCTCTGGAGCCCCAAATTTGCACCAGGTACCACACCTGGAGCCCCAAATCTGCACCTTCTGCCACATCTTGAGCTCCAAATCTCCAGCAGATCCTACATTTAGAGCCCTAAATCTGCCCCAGGGACCACACCTGGAGCCCCAAATCTACACCTTTCATACTCCAATTCCCAAAATTCAGACCTCGCCTGCAATCAGGTGCCACACCCGGAGCCCCAAATGTGCACCTTCTGCCACACCTGGAGCCCCAAATTTGCATCATGTGGCACATCTTGAGCCCCAAACCTTGAGCCCCAAATCTCCAGCAGAGCCTGCATTTGGAGCCCCAAATCTGTCCCAGGGTCCACACCCGGGACCCCAAATCTGCACCTTCTGCCACATTTTGAGCCCCAAATCTCCAGCAGATACTACACTTGGAGCCCCAAATCTGCACCAGGGGCCACACCTGGAGCCCCAGATGTGCACCAGGTGTCACACCTTGAGCCCCAAATCTACACCTTCTGCCACACCTGGAGCCCCAAATCTGCACCAGGTACTGCACCTGCAGCCCCAAATCTGCACCAGAGGCCACCCCTGGAACTGTGAATTTACACCAGGTACCACACCTGGAGCCCAAACCTGCACCACATGCTACACCTGGAGCCCCAAATCTACATCTTCTGCCACACCTGGAGCCCCAAATCTGCACCAGGTATCATACCTGGAGCCCTAAATCTGCATCAGATACTACATCTGGAGCCCCAAATCTGCATCAGATACTACACCTGGAGCCCCAAATCTGCACCAGGTATCACATCTGGAGCCCCAAATCTGCACCAGACACTAAATCTCCAGCCCCAAATCTGCACCAGGTACCGCACCTGGAGCCCCAAATGTGCACCTTCTGCCAGCCCTGGAGCCCCAAATCTCGAGCCCCAGATCTGCCCCAGATCCTGCGCCTGGAGCCCCAGATGTGCCCCAAAGCTGCTCCTGCCGCCCCTCCCCGGGCCGGGGTTACCTGCCAGGTTGGCGACGGGCGGTTTGATGAGTCCCGGCAGCGCGGCCAGCGTTGCTGTGGGGATTGTCACCACGAGCGCGGGCTGGGCTGGCACCGGCCCCGCCACCTGACCTGCAACACTGATGGGGATAAGAAGAGGTTGAGTAACTGTCCCTGCCGGAACCATTACTCCTGTCACACCTGTGGCTAAGCTTTCCTGAGCCAACACCTGCGGAGATAAATGAGAGGTGAAAAGAAGAGAAGACAGAACATCAACGCCCGGGCAAAAGCAGCGCGCGGGGACAACCCCCCCCAGCCCCACACCCCAAAAAACGGGACCCCCCCGCGTCCACACCCACCCCCCCACCCCCCCGGGTGAGCCCGCGGCGGGGAGGGGCACGGGGAGACCCCCTGGGGGGGTGGGGACGATAAAGGGGGTGCCCCTCTTAGCTGGAGACCCCCCCGCTCCGTGGGGAGATGGGGGGGAGGGCAAAGGGGGGGCCCCTGAGCTCTGGGGGGGATAAAGGGGGTTCCCCCTTAGCTGGAGAGCCCCCCCCTGTGGGGAGATGGGGGGGGGAACTCTGTTAAGGGGGGGCACCTTGGGGTCTGGGGGGGGATAAAGGGGGATCCCCCTTTCCTGGAGACCCCCCCCCTCTGTAGGGAGATGGGGGGGGCTCGGGAGGGGCTCGGGGGGGCTCTGGGGTCCCTCCCCCCTCCCGGGTCTGTGGAGACCCCTCTGTGTGTGGCCCCCCCTCCCCTGGCCCCCCCTCCCCGCGGGGCCATGGGGGGGACACGGGGGGGATCCCCCTTCACCCGGCGACCCCCCCACCCCCCGCTGGTCCCCCCCGTCCCTGTCCCGTGTCCCCATTTACCTGCGGGGGGGCCTGCAGGGCCAGCTGGGGCACGGGGGGCGGCCCCGGGGGGGGCACCGGGGGGGGCGACGCCGGAGTCGCTTTGGGCTGACCTGGGGGGGACACAGGGGGGGTCAGGGGGGCGGGGGACCCCAAAATCTGCCCCCCCGGGGAAAGGACACCCCCACAGGAGTGAGGAGGGTGAGGGGACCCCAAATTCTGCCCCCCCAGGGAAGGGACACCCCCACACAGGGGTGAGGGGGGCGGGGGGACAGGGGAGGGGACGGGGAGGGGACGGGGAGGGGACACGGGACAGGATCAGGGGAGGGGCTCAGGGGCACCCAGGGAATGATCCCGGGAAGGACAATCCGGGGGCACCCCACGAACGTTCCCTGGAATGGGGGGTCTCTCACCTGCCGCCTCCCCTCCGGCCGAGTTTGGGGTGCTGGGGGGACCCTCCTCCCCCCCGGGGGGGCCCCCCTGTCCGGGGGCTCCCCCCGCCCCTCCCCCGGCGGTTTTGGGGTCCCCCTGGGCCGGGAGGGGGGTGTCCACCCCCACCTCCAGCACCCGGATGGTCTCGTGGCCGGACATGACGATCACCTGCAGAGAGACCCCAAAATCAGCCCGGGGTGTCCCCCAAAATCACCTCGGGGGTGTCACCCCCAAAATCAGCTCAGGGGTGTGTCCCCCAAAATCTGCTCGAGGTGACCCCCCCAAAATCAGCTCACGGCGTCCCCCAAAATCAGCTCAGGGTGCCCCCCAAAATCAGCCCGGGGGTGTCCCCTCCCTCTGGCTGCCCCCCCAGGAGCCCCCCCACCCCCCGGGGCTGTTTTGGGGTGCAGAGCTCCCCTGGAGGGAGGGGTGGGGGGTCACAGCCCCCCCCCGACTCTGACCCCGAGACCCCGAGAGGGTGAAACGCTTCAGCCCCCCCAAAACAGGGCCTGTACTCCCAAAAACAGGGTCTGTACCCCAAAAACAGCGTCTGTACCCCAAAACTGGGCCTGTACTCCCAAAAACAGGGTCTGTACCCCAAAAACAGCGTCTGTACCCCAAAACTGGGCCTGTACTCCCAAAAACAGGGCTGGTACCCCAAAACAGGGCCTGTACCCCAAAACAGGGCCTGTACCCCAAAATGAGGCTGGCACCCCAAAAACACGGACTGTAACACCCAAACATGGCCTGTACCCCCAAAACAAACCCAGAAACCCCCAAAACAGACCCTGCACCCCAAACAGACCCTGAACCCCCAAACAGACCCCATACTCCCCAAAACAGCCCCTGCACCCCAAAACCAGCCCCAGGATCCCCCAAACAGCCCCTGCACCCCAAAACTAGCCCGATACCCCCCAAACAGCCCCCGCACCCCCAAACCGCCCCGTACCTGCTCGTTGACCGTCAGCAGCGGCTCCGGGGGCTGCCCGGGCCGGGGGTCCATGGTGGGGGCACGGGGGGCACACGGGGGGCACACGGGGGGCACACGGGGGTCACTCCTGCCACATCCTGGGGGGACAGGGGGGTGTCACCACCGGGGACGGGTTTGGGGGTCCCCAAGGGGATAAGGAACCACCCAGGGAGGGGTTGGGGGGTCCCCAGGAGGGGTTTGGGGGTCCCCAGAGGGACAGGGATGGGCTGTCACCTCCTGGGGACGGGTTTGGGGGTCCCCAGGGAGGGGTTTGGGGGTGCCCGGGGGGACAAGGATGGGCTGTCACCATGAGGGGACAGGTTTGGGGGTCCCCAGGATGGGTTTGGGGGTCCCTGGGGGGACAGGGAGGGGCTGTCACCACCTAAGGACAGGTTTGGGGGTGCCCAAGAGGGGTTTGGGGGTCCCCGGGGGGGTTTGGGGGTCCCCAAAGGGACAGGGATGGGCTGTCACCTCCTGGGGAGGGGTTTGGGGGTCCCCAGGACAGGTTTGGGTGTTCCCAGGGGACAAGTCGGTTCTTGGGGTCCCTCTCAGCCCCTTTGAACACCCCAAAAACCACCTAAAAACCTAAACCCTAAAACTGGGAGCCCAAACGGGAACTGGGAACCCAAACTGGGACCCCAAATGGGAACTGGGACCCCAAACTGGGACTGGGATCCTGAACTGGAACTGGGACCCCAAACTGGGACCCTAAACTGAAACTGGGATCCCAAACTGGGACTGGAACTGGGACCCCAAACTGGAACTGGGACCCCGAATGGGAAGGGGAAAGGGGACAGGGGGAAGGGAATCCCGTGGGGTTTGGGGTCCCAGGGACTCACCCCCCGTTTGCTCCGGGGGGAGGGACCCTCCTGCAGGACACGGGGCCGGGGGGGCTCCCGCGCTCCGGGACGGGCTCAAAGCTCCGGCTTTGGGGGCTCCCGAGTTTTGGGGCTCCCGAGTTTTGGGGCTCCGGCTCTCGGGGTTTCAGAGTTCCCGGGTTTCAGAGTTCCCGGGTTTCAGAGTTCCCAGGTTTCAGAGTTCCCAGGTTTCAGGGTTCTGGCTTTCTGGGATTCCAGGCTCTGGCTCTCCGGGTTTCTCAGTTCCCAGGTTTCAGGGTTCCTAGGATTCAGAGTTCCCAGGTTTCAGAGTTCCCAGGATTCCGAGCTCTGGCTCTCTGGAATTCTGTGCTCCAGTTCCCAGGGTTTCAGGGTCTCCAGGCTCCGGCTCTCCAGGATTCCGAGCTCTGGCTCTCTGGATTTTGGGGCTCCCAGGTTTCAGGGTTCTGGCTCTCTGGGATTCAGAGTTCCCAGGTTTCAGGGTTCCCAAGTTTCACGTTTCCCAGGTTTCTGGGTTCTGGCTCTCTGGGTTTCCTGGCTTCAGCTCTCTGGAATTCCGTGCTCCAGCTCTCCGGGGTTCTGGGCTCCCAGATTTCAGGGCTCCGGCTCTCTGGGATTCCAGGCTCTGGCTCTCCGGGTTTCAGCGTTCCCA